CAAAAAAAAAAAAAAAAAAAAAAAAGAGTTATGTTGCATGTTTTTTAGGTTACAAAAGCATTCTGTGTCTTTCTCTAGCCTACAAAAATCTCTCCAAAAAAAAATCTCAAAAAGCTTTCCCCCTGTGAAAACCTGGGGAAAAGGGACTGAGTGGGACAAGGAGAAAGTCTGTGTCAGACACAAATGTTTTCTCCAGCTGCACATGCTGAGCAGGGCACTGTGTTTTCCTCAAGATACCGACGGCCCCTGTGGCACCTAATGTGACAATACTCTGCCGTGGTCACAGGAGAGGCACCTCCACAGAGTGATTGAGTGGTGAGCTCACCCAGGTGTTGCTCACCCAGGTCTTGCCCCAACACCTTGGGTAGCTCAGCTCACTGCCTCAGGAATTGTTGCTTTGCTGCATTTCTTTAACCCTGGCCATGCCAGTCCTTGCAGAGAAGCAGCGTGCCAGCTGTCATGGGCTGCTGCTGCAGGCTCACTGCCTGGGACTGACTGGGCTCCACTTACACACGTCATCTACACAGACCACTGGGAATCGCCTCTGCAGCAGTCTCTGGAGTGGCTCTAGTCTGGTCTGATTTTAAGAGACTTTTTAAAGCAAGCACTGCAAATATTTTTGGGAAGATAAGTTTCTCTGATAGTTAAATTTGTCTTTTATTCATTGTATGTGTACCCTCACATTGTTTCAATTTATTATTGTGGAGATCGCTAACTCGGTGCTAGTAAGAACAGCAATACACATAGTACATAGTAGAAAATACATAGTAGAAGAGAAAATGAGAGGTTTTTTTCCTTCTTTTAAACATGATCTCTAGCACACCTAAGTGTTTTGTAGTGCTAGTATAGTTACAGCAGTGATGGTCTAAAGCTGTAAGGAGTTACGTAAGGATACCTACTCCTAAATATCTTTTCCTTTCACAAGAAGAGATTTAAGGCTAGGGCCAAAATAAGTAAATAAATAGTTAAATAAATAGTTAAACAAATAGTTAAATAAACAAATAACTAGATAGATAAATAAATAAATTGACAGATAGATTGATAACCAACCAAGTAACTAACTAACTAACTAAACAGATAAATAGAGCAGGTTAAAAACACCTGAATAAACTCTGGAAAGCTCCAGGTGCCTGTGTACAAAAGCGTAATCCTCTTGAGCCCCATCCAGTCTTAAGCACTGGGCACTGGGAGTGAGCTCAGAGGTCACCCCCCGAACACGTGGCAGGGTGTGGGGCAGAACACGTGGTCCTGCCCCACAGAGCTGGCCCTGGAGTGGGACAGGGCACCAGTGGGACCTCAGCTCCCCTCTCCTCCCTTCGGGGCTGCCTGCCGAAAACCCAAGGCAGCTCAGCACCGCACTTCAGGCTCCCAAGCACTCCGCTGGGTCTCAGGCACCGCTTTGGGCCTGTATGGGGAAAGCTCAAGAGTAACATTTTGTTGCTTGGTAGGTTTTTCCTTTAATCTCTTTTTCAAGTGCTGTCCATATGACTACGCTCTTGGAGAAAACCCTCTTGAAGATAGACAGCAGTCTTAATTACTACAGGCTAATTAACTTTAATGAGAAAATTGCTGTACACTGATGTGGGATTTGGCCTTAAAAGAATTTCAGACAATCCTCTAACACCACCAATATCGTATCTTCTATCAAGGTTATGCAACGATAAAGCTTGACAGTATCCTCTAATCAAATGAGGAGCATGACCCTGAAGATCTAAGACACCAATTTGCTTCTCTGCCAATATAATGTGCCATCTTTGTTTTCAGGAAAATACTAGCTAAAGCAGCTTCACAGTGCTGCTACCTTATTTCATTTATCCCTATGATGATTTGCCTTTTAGCACTAGTAAGTGAACTTTTAAAAAAATAATACTAAAAGCTCCAGGGGTTCAAGATGTACTGCCCCAGAACAAGATCTCAGTTTCTGGCCTTAGAGACATTTCTCCTGCAATCAGCACTGCAGCTGCAAATACAACAGTAAGAAAGAACAGATCTTCATTAAAAAACTGGACTGAATCATCAAATCTGTTGAGACTATGCATTCCATTTAATCAAAGGAAATATTTAAGCACTAGCAGCATTCAGAAACTACAAATTAATTGGTACTTGTAGGCAGCGATCATGTTTTCTATTTTTCTTGATACTCACATAAATATGTGTGAAAGATTGATTGCCCAGCTTTGTGAGGTGTAGGGGCAGTGACACACCCCACAACTCTCTACAGAGGCAGTGGGGAATTGTCATAAGAAGAAACTGCCCCCAGCTATTACCTCATGGTGTACAGCAGAGTGCCGTCATCCTCCAGGCGCAGAAGTTTGTTTGGGGTTGTCATGTTGTGAGCAATAGACTTCTTGCCATTGTGGAAGAAAGTGTCCGGGGTCCAGATCTTGCTGGCGAGCAGGTTGTTGAGAGGGAGGCGTTGCATGGGGCCTTTGAATCGCAGCCTTTCATCCTTCCAGCTTTGGCGGAAAAAAACATCAATGGTGTATTCCTGGCACAGAGAAACAGTCAAGGGATTGCAGATCTGAACAGAAGCGACGGTTCTAAAAATTACTTTAGCAAAGTAAATACAGTGGTGCTGCCAACCACGTGCTTTAACTTACCATTTCTGTGTCTGACACAGGGCCAAAACTGGTGACATAGATGTCCGTTTTCACCTGAGTTATTCTCTCTGTAACAAATATAGGCCCCGCATTAGTAATCAGTTTAAGATCACAGGCTTGTGATGTATTTCTGAATCACTCAAAAATCCCCAGAAGTTTAAAATTAAGATGTTTGAGGAAGAATTTCATCCTTGATCATACGCAGTTGTCAACCTTCGGGACCTCAGGCTCTCCCATAATCAGTGGAAACAGGCCCTTCAATGGCACAGTTCCTCTGAGTGACAGGTTTTGATCATAGAATCATAGAATAGAATGGTTTGGGCTGGGAGGGACCTTAAAGATCATCTAGTTCCAATCGCCCTGCCATAGGCAGGGACACCTCCCACTAGACCAAGTTTCTCACAGCCCCATCCAACCTGGCCTTAGACACTTACCAGGGAGTGGGCATCCACAGCTTCATCCTGTCCAGTATCTCACCACCCTCACAGTAAAGAATTTCTTCCTAATATCTAATCTAAATCTACCCTCTTTCTGTTTAAATCCTTTACCCCTTGGCCTATCACTACACTCCCTGACAAGGAGTCCCTCCTCATCTTTCCTGTAGGCCCCCTTTAGGCATTGGAAAGCTGCAATAAGGTCTCCCTTGCTGGAGTCCTCTCTTCTCCAGGCTGAACAACCCCAGCTCTCTTAGCCTGTCCTCACAGGAGAGGTGCTCCAGCCTTCTGATCACCTTTGTGGCTCTCCTCTGGGCCCACTCCAACAGGTCCATGTCTTTCTTATGCTGGGAGCTCCAGAGCTGGACACAGTGCTCCAGGTGGTGTCTCACAAGAGCAGAGAAGAGGGGGAGAATCACCTCCCTCGACCTGCTGGCCACACTTCTTTTGATGCAGCCCAAGATTTGTTTTCTGGGCTGTAAGCACACATTGCTAGCATATATTTGACACCTACTACAGGATGAGGTGACTTGTATCTTGGAAGGACCTATTCCTGTCTGCTGGCTTGAGCAATCTGCCCATTTCCAGACATCTATATTATAGATGTCCAAAGTTAGGTGAAATTAATTCTACCCTCAAAACTCTAAGTCCTTCTGGCATCTTTTCAAATTCAGGACTAATTTAATTTAAGGGCAGAAATTTCAGAGGCTTGTTACATAAGATAGGAGCACCAAGCCCTATTTTCAAGCATCTCTGTGTAAAGTGAGAGGAGAAGGAGAGAAAGGGATGAAAGCAATGTGTTGGTCTCACAAGAGGAAGGGGTGGGGGTAGCCAGATTAAAAAAGGGCCGGGAAGAAACATAACAGATGGTTTACACATGGGTAGAAGATGAGAGAAATCTGGGGAACACAGAGCTGGAGGAGGGCTCAACAAGGTTAGGATGGCAAGCAACTATTCACATGTTATGGTTTTAAAATAGCTGCTGTAGAGGTTATCAAAATGACATATCAATACAGAATTGCTGTAGCTGTCTAAAAATGGATGGTTTGGAGATCTGTTTTTAACAGATAATTTTGTCACTCGCACAATTTTATACATGCTGACCAGTGAGGGAACCTTGCAGCAACCTTCTAGCACCTTGTCTCGCTCACCTTAGGGAGTACCAAAAAGAAAAGAAACCCAAATTGTATTCAATTACTGAAAAAATGCACCACACCTGCTCTCCTGACCCAATCTCAGATGACCCCAATGACTAAAAGAAGATAACTTTCAGTGACCTTTGTATTGTGCCCTGTTTGCCAGGAGACAAATCTACTTTCTGGGCTTTGTTTAGCTAGTGACACACAGCTCCCTTGTCAAAGCCCGTGTCAAGGGCAGGTACCCATCCGGGACGTCAGCAGAGATGATGTAGATGACGGCCCTGCATAGCCAGAGCAAATGAGCTGTGCTACCTCCCAGTCCTGGGCGCAGTCGGTTGTCATAGCCGTCCAGCAGACCATCCAAGATCCTGGTGAATATAGTGATGTTATCATTGGTGTCCTCTTTTCCTGAGGCTGTTGGCGTTTGTGAGAAGCTATTTCATGCAAACGAAAAGAAACAAGTCAAAAGCTGTGACAGCCTCAATGGGGTTCAGTCTTAAGGAAACTTTGTGATGGAGCTTTTGGGCCTCTGCCCTCTCCTGCCACTCCAGCTGAGCAGCATGGGGAGCCACAGCAATTTCATCACTGCTACAAGCACTCACAAACATCTCTCCCTGGAGGAGGACCCAAGGAAGGACCCATGCTGTGGAGACACATTCCTGTGGCACCAGATCAGGTGACACCTGAGCCCACTGACCCTCTTGCCATAGTGCATAGGGTGCTCCCAATCCCTTGTACTGCCCTGCCCCACCTCACCCCCCAACCTCCGCAGCACTGGGGTGCCTCCATCCCGTGCAAGGTCCAAGTTCAGCTCACCAGGCCAGCAGAAGCTGTTACTGTTTTTCCCCAGGTTAGCTCTCCAGTCTTTAGAAACTGCATCAGCTGTCAGGGGAGCTGCACAAGCAGCATGGGTTTGCCTGGGGACACTCCTTCAAGTCTGCCTGAAGGTACTCTTTAATCCTTATATGTCAAACAGCTTCTAATTTCCACAGTTCATGTAATTTATTGCCAGAACAAAGGATGAACTCTAACCTTATTTGAGGATAACAAGCTCCCACTGCATTCAAAAATACCACCCCTGATCACTGGGGTATCTGAAAAAAACATGCTGCAGTACAGAAAAAGTAGTTCTTCATTCCTCCTCTCTCTTTTGCATAAATTAGTCCTTCCCTGTAGTATGCAAATAACAGCAATGTGTAGTGGGCCTCATTCCATATCTTTCAGGCCAGATTTGTTTTTATTCTGAGCTCTTTTTTTATTTTATTCATGGCTCAGACCTCGGAAGCCAGTCACAGCACAACTACAACTTGCTTTTTTAAGGACATTTGATATTCATTTAAAGTTGCTTAGGAGAATCCCCTGCCTCCTAATACCTTGGCTTACCTAAAGAACAGAGGCAAATATTTATCCATAAGCACGCTTCACCTGCAGCAAGCACTGAGCATCTCTTCAGACAGCAAGTTTGTTCACACTCGGTGTTTATTCAACTTTCAGTCTCTGCTGGAATTGCCACCAAATGCTCCAGCTGCGACAGGGCACATTGTCCCTCTAGGAACCATACCCTGCCTCATGCACCCTGCCAGCAGACAGGAATCACTTACACTCAACAGCCTGCACTCAACATAAGCCAGTCACTCATAGATAAAAAAAAAAATAATAATTCCATGGTTATTTACTACCAATCCCCAGGGAAATAAATGAGTAAATGAACAGAGAACCTCAGAGCACCCCTCTGAAGAGCTGGCTTTGCAGAATGCTTGTAACATATGGATTAGGCTTACCTAGCAGAATAGAATTTGTACAAAGGAAACAAGAAACTTCAACCTGGTTTTACCTGCACAAGGTTCACACCAATGGGACCTTGCTGACACCTGTGTAACGGGTCTGGAAGTTTTAGTAACATGAGACCTGGCTCAGGACAAGCTGGTGGTGGCCACGTAGCCCCTCACAGACACAGGGACCTCCAGTCCTGCTCCTGTTCTTTACAGCTTGTGTGATTCTGCTGGAAAAAGAAAGGACTGCAAAGCCTCTCAGGAAAGAATGGGGCCGTGTGGTGGGAACGTGAATCCGATTCCCAAGAGCACCAAAGCACATGCAGATGCCTGGCCCAGGAGGCTCCTCATGGCCCCAGTGCCATCAGCACTGCTGAGACCCTCAAGTTCAACACCAGAGAGAGCCCCAGGCCACCAAGGAGCTCTCCTTCTCTTCAGGCAAAGGCATAGCTGCACATCTCACTCATTTTTCAGCCCATCCCATCTGTCCATGGTCAAAAGACCAATTTAATTGTTTCCTACGATGCGACCACAAACTCCAGTGAGTAACTGATGCAGACAACATCACAGACATTTTTGACTCTAATGAAAGACAGTTAATCCAGCAGATGCAAACTGATAACACAAACATGAGACATCTCTGCATGCCAGACCATTTAAGACAAAAGATTAAATACTTTTTTGTCAATCATGACCAAAAGGATTCATCACATAAAAGTGAATATTTATAAGCAGCAGCCTAACAAATACAAACAAGAGACAGAAGTTAGAGAGGTTCTTCATATGCAGTGACCATAACTTAGACACGGGTAAAATCCTAGAATGCAGTTTTAAACTTTTCTCTTTCATTTTAGCTTCTTTTTTCCATAAGAAAGAGATACACACCATGCTGCTTCAGTGTGTTTTCATTTTCCAACGCATCTCACAAAGAAGCAGAGAGATCAAACTTCATTTCATTCCTACAAGTTTTATGAGAAGCAGTGAGTAGACAAGGGGAGAAGGATCTAAATTAGTGCCTCATTAAGTAAAAATGTGAGGTCAGCAGTCATCCATTCCCTCTGGCTCACTGACTGGGCCAGTCAGCACACACAGAGCTCAGAAACAGCCTCAGCAAAACCAGCCCACCTCCTCTCCACTAATTAAGAGTTATGGAGGAGACTTGCCAGGTGATTAGGAAAGGTCCTGGGAGAAAAGGACGGAAGAGGTAAAATGTAGGCGTTGCAAAGGGAGAAGGGAACAAGGGATGCCAAATGCGGAGCCGGGATTTCTGCAGAGGTACTGTGCTGGGGGCACAGGATACAAAGCTTCACTGGTTTCTCTGCTCTTGAAAAAGCTTGTTATTTTTAGTGCTTGTGGCTGAATTCAAAGCCAACTGAACTCAGAGGGAATATTTCCACTGAACTATTTTTGTGGGGATGGGACAAAATATCCTTAGCTCTTATAACTGCTCCTCTGAATCTAACCAGAGTAATTGATGCCGCTTCCTTCCATCTCAGCTACGTACATCTTTCACAAGAACAGTATACACAACTCCAATACTGAAATACTTTTATATCTCCACAAGCAAAGCTAATTAATAGATGAAAAGGACGGAGAAACAGCTAGGGTGAAGACTCATAAAAAGTCTGCACTTCATCTGCAAAACTGCAATCCAATTTAGAATTGGCACATCGCTTCACCCGAAGAAGAAGGCATCTGATGCTGAATTTTGGTGAAATGTCAGTGTTATGTGAAGCTGCATTTGTAGATGGATTTCTGTTTGCCATTAATGCAAACGTTACTATTTCTTTCACAGAAAAGTTAGCATTTCGTTTCTATTTTTGAATATGCTGGTGAAATACATGTTTTGGGTTAAGTGCTGAGGTTCTCTTTCATGATATAAGACCTTTAAGCAGTACTTGCAAAGTTACATGCATATATTAGACACTGTAAGTCTATGAATAAATAGAAAACAAGAGATACCCTCAATTAGTTACTTGCACACAGCTAAAGATTACGTTTTAGCAACATATTAGGAGGCAAGCACATTATTGCCTCCCTGCAACCAAAAATGTTTTTATAACAGTCATTTTCAGCTGTGGATAAAAATAGAACCAGAAGAGAACCTTAGGAAAATGCTAAGAAAATTCAAAGACAATTACATTTAAAGCTCATTATTGAACATAAACTAAACCAACCAGGAATACTTCTCATCACATTTATTTAATATTGCGATTTCAAGGTGACTGAAAAAATCAGAAGCCACAGAAGGGGCCCATCAGCATAAAATGTAATAACTCTCTGAAGATGCTCAGCTACATCTTCTAATGAGTTCATCGTTTACCATTTTAAACATCACTGTCTTTTTTGCCATCTAGTCAAATTCATGACATGTACTGTGCATAGGTTATATTTAATAAAAGGAAAACTTATGGCAGATATTTTGTGATTTTCCCAAAACTTTTTTTTTTTTTATAAAAGGTAAGAGACACGGGAAAAATAACTGAGTATTTTGCTATTGAAAATTGTATTTTTATCTCTTTCTCTTTCTTAAGAGTAGAGTTTCTAATAACTTGTTTTAATAGGACCTAAACTTTAATACCAGAACTTCAGACAAATTAGCAGTTTGTTGGAAAAGACAGTGGAAAATGCACTTGCACGCTTCTGGATACTACCAGCTGGCCAAACATCAAAGGAAATAGATTTACTTTTCTAAGTTAGCTTCTTGCCATCACTTTCTTGCAGATTCTTGAGAACTAAAAATTCTGAAATTTTGTGCATTTGTGCAAAGATTCAGTTCTTTCATATCGGATTAGGACAGAGGACAAGACTGACTAAAATGATGGAAATTTAATGGCCTTTGCAGATCCTTAAAGAGTAATTTAATTCTTTCCTTTAGCAAGAGCAGCATTTTACTCCCTTCAGGGAACAAGCAATTTGTGAGCAGTGCAATGAAACTGTTTTTCGTAGAACGACATCTTATCATCCTCACCTACTTGCACTTTAACTCCCCTTTCAATATCCTGAATTTTTCCCAGGGTCATTAAACACCTCCCAGTACTCTCAGCACCTCAGGTCACTGATCTGCAGCTACACTAGGAAAAAAATTTGTTCCAGGGCTGGTCCTGCACCAAGAACATGCTGGATGGCCTGCAGGTATGTGCCTGCTATTTGGCCAGCTGGCAGGCCAAGCAAAATAGAGATGCTGAAGCTGTAGCTTTTTGTTCAGCGGATGGTGTCTGTCTGCCCCTCCAAGCAGTTCTAGGTACCCACTTAGGTTTTTTTTTTATAAAAATTGTCTAATGGGTACAAAAAGATATCTGGAGACATGTAGAAGGAAAGGAAAACAGGGTAAAAAAAATACGTAGACAAGCATGACCGCATAAAGATATGTTAATTCTTACAAAATTAGTCTTAAAAAAATATGAGGGAGAACTCCCTAGCATCTACAAGCACTTGGAAACGGATAACCCAGCAGAACTAACTGCTTAGGGTTGCAGAGACTAGCTTGAAATAACAGGCTGAAGGAGAGGTATGTTTTGTCTAAATAGCAGGATTATGGTCTCAGTGATAAGAGCTGTGAGCTAGTGGAAGAGTATGTGAAACTACAGGCACACCACAGACTGAGTTCTTAGGGTGTACAGAGAAGTCTTGCATTAGCTACGTTTAATTTAGTCTCCTGTTTTCCATGTTTCTACTATTTTAAATACTATTAGCAGATGACAACTAAACTGTGGGTACACCAAACAACATCTGTCCCCATTGGTTTTGGCTCTCAGACAGATTTCTGAAATTGCACATCCAAAACACAAATGCACAGGGACTGTGTGTCACCAATGTATCCCCACAGATGTGCATGTGGACGGTCTGGGGCTTCCAAGAAACCAGTCTGGATGCAGTAAGGTTGGCCAGCATGGGGCCAACCACAGGCTGCCTTGTCTCAGGGAGATCTCAGTGCAGGCAGTCACCCATGGTGGCAACCCTCATGGGGCTGCCACTACGTGGGCTCCTCAAAGTCCCACAAGGAATCAGACTCTTGTCTCATCCGAAAACATGCTTTAAAATTATATTTGACTTGTAATTATTCTCTAGCTCTGTTATTAATGTTTACTTTCAATACCATCGTGAACCATTTTGAAATGCTGCAGTAAAATATCCTAGCTCGTTAGAGCATTATACAACTCAAGGCTGAATTCAAGCAAGCTTGAAAAAGCCTTGACTCACACCGCACCATTTCTGCAGAAGGAGACACATAAAACTGTTACAGCAACAACAGTGAGTGGCTTCACATCCTCTTCTTGTTTCCTCTTTATCTTTGAACTTTAATTCAGTGTTTTTTCTTTAAATAACTTCTACCAGCTATGCCTACAGTTCTCCTCTACCACCCATTGATGTGGATAACCCCCGATAATTATTCCACATTTATGTTAAACATTAATCACAGAGTTTTGCTGAGTTTTCTGAAGTAGCCTAGGAGACTGAGACACATAATTTCTGTTTATTTTACCAGGCATCAAAATCCCCTAAGGTGGCTTTAGCTATGCCAGCAAAAACTGTATTTATGATCTAATATAAATATGGAACGACTATGGAGAATCATAGTCAAATGTCTGTCTCCACCTGTAATGTCCTACTGTGTTTTGCTTTTTTAATTTGTGGTCACCTGACCAATCACTTTTATCTAGCACATTACAAAACACACTGCAATGTAACAGTGCAGTCCAAACATGGATGAAGATAATAAAGGAGAACGTGGTAGCAACAGCAAGTATTATCAGTAGTAGATTTTTGCAGTTAATATACCAGCCTACATGTAAATTGTACTGTTCTGTCCTGAAGAGTCAGTCCCAAAGCACTTAGCAAATTACACTCTGAAACTGCTTCTGCCTCTGGAACAGAAGTGCTGGAGCATCCTCTGTCTTTTGAGCAGGGTCAAAATTCAGCCCTCAGGCAGCATGTGAATGGTGCAGCGAATTAGAGCTGCTTATCTCTGCAGGCCCAGACTAAAATTACTAGATCAGAAATGGGGGGTGGAGGGGGAGGTTATGTGATGATCTCATTTTAGTGCTCAGAAGCTTTTTGAGTAACTCACAGAAAACAAGTGGCCTAGATTCCCCTAACTATCCTGTTCTGATTATCTGCCAGGTTACAGGTCACATCAATTCCTACCTGGGACTTGCTTTGGGCAAGTTAAATCCTCTTTTTTTTTGCAGCCTCACCTGTCTATTTTTCTGTTAGAGGAGTAACACAGTTAAAAGACCCACCCCAAACAGATCATGCTTGACTATTGCAGTGTACTGCCTTCTGAAGGAATGCTGGACACTAAGGAAGGACTTAAGCTTACAGTCCTCAAGCTCTTCTCAGTGTGTCAAGACAAGTTTAAAACCAGCCCCACACTATCTATGCCTTCTTCATTTCTATCAGAAAGTCCAGGGAGAGTTTTGCCTTAGATCACAGTGAAAGCAGGACCAAGCTTTTCCAAGGTGAATAAGTCAGTGTGCAGCTCTTTTCATCTTTTGTAGTGTGCATTCCTACAACCATTCATACAAGCCACTGTGGTCACAGGCTTCTGCCTGCCTACACAGGACACATGCTGGTGACAGGGCTAGGTTTTGCTTACAGCATAGACAGTCATCACCCAAAGTTTGGTCTTTCTTCTAGTTCCAAACTGCAAAAAAATCACTTTACTTGAAATCAGAAACTGATTTGCATCTCCATTTTGTATTTTCTTATAGCAAGAATATGATGGGTGTGCTTGTGAATCAGCACGTTGAGAGGATTCATTTTTTTTTCTGGTGAAATCATAAATAATTGTTCTCCTCCACAAAAAAAGGATCAACCTACGTTTCCAGAGAACATGCGAAATGCTGTTTCTAGATTCCATTGCGTAGCCTGATTTTGGAAAGTTCTTAAGATAACTGGCTTTAGGAAAAAAAATATACATCAGGGATTTCTGTTTGATTGGGGGGAGGGGGGATGTTATGTTTTGTTGGTTGGTTGGTTGGTTGTTGGTTTTTTTTCTCCCTAAGAGCTATAATTTCCTCAATATAGTTTCTAGAAGATCACCAACAGGAAAGCATCCAAAGCAAAACACAAGGAAACAGGATTCCTTGTTATATGCTTCAGGGAAACACAATTTCTAGTTATTCTAGCAAGTTTAAAACTCAGCCATCCTTCGGAGCAGTCACAATCTGAGCTTACTCACTAGGAAAGCCTGTAGCAGCCAGCAGCACGCACCCAGCCCTGCTGTCGCAGCCTCGCTCTGCTGCCCGTTGCCTGCACCTGCCAGGTGAGAGGGAAGGTGCCAGCCCCCCTCAGCCAAGCAGGGAGCACCCCAGCCCTCGGCTGTGCTGCACCCAGGCCACAGCACTCAGCAGCCACAGGCCCGGCCTGAGCTCCCCCTGCCCCCCACACCTTCCTGCAACAGCATTAAGGGCATAAAGAACTGACACCAGACAGTAAACTTGAGCAGGAAACCCAACTGCTCCCTTCCCCCCGACACCAGCACGTTAAGATGAAATGCAAAGCCCCCTTGTTTTGTTCAGCTGCTCCGTACCACACGAGCCAAGGTTTTTCATTTCCTTTTAAAAACCCACAGCAAAAATTGAAACGCAATGGGCTACTCACCCGAAGTGGCTGGCTAAACTCATGGAAACGCAGAACAGAAAGAAGTTTTTGATCATGATAAAGTCAGAGACCATCCCATTGTCCATTCCAGAGGAGAGGAGGAACGCAGGTGGTTGCTTTGGTAAAGGTGCAGCTGCTCACTTTGTTCTTACACTGCAACAATAGGAAAAAAAAAAAAAAAAGGTAAATTATTACACAGACAAACAGCAGGATAGCCGAGTTCAGCTAACACTGCATCTTCCGCTATCTCTGTTTTTCACAAACTTATCTAGGCTTATGTAAACATCAGCTGTTTATGTAAAATTGTATATCTTCAAGGACATGTTTTACCTTCTGCTGATAGCAAACTGCAAAGCAGGAAAAAATCTTAGTGGCCCAGTTTTCCCTTATATTCATCCGTGATGTAAGTAACTGAAGAAATCGTCACCATTTTCCAAATGGCAATTTTGACCCTTTACCTATTTCAGCAACTTCCACACGCCTGCAAACCCAGGGCTGTGAGCAGCCTCCGCATCCTTTCCTTCCATCACAATTTTTCCCCATTAAATACCCAGATTCCCTTTCCAAAATCCCAGTTGAAATGCCAAGAAACACCTACTGCTTCTTGGAATTCATGCTGCTGATGCACAGCTTGCTTTAGCAAAAAGAGGATGGGATGGGGGGAGTGAAAAGTGACCTTCCTCCCAAAGATACATAAACCTCACACTAGCATGAAGAATGACAGTAACGTAGCTGCTCCAGCAACTTGTGCCTCCTCCAGCACCTGCCGCTTTTCGGATACCTGCCTCAGCGACCAGATCACCAATTTCAGCATTGTGCACTAACGGTTTCCTCTGTGCCCTATTAAAAAAAAAAAAAAAATACAAACCACGAACCAAACCCAAAACAAGAAAGCCAAAACCAAAAAAACAAACACTCAAACCATCAAAAAAGCAAATCCTGCCCTCACAAGCACACCCAGAGGGGAGCTGGTCGATTGTCCACCTGAACCCTGTGCCCCCCCGCGCTACACCGCTCAGCAACTTACTCTCCGCACCCCGCCGGCGCAGCAAGGCGCAAAGCCCAAGCCAAAAGCCGCCCCGCGGGG